ATATATATAATATTATTGTATATTGTTGTATAACAATACGTATGATTCCAAAAGGGAGTTTGGGCATGTGAAAACTCTGAGGATACGTGTTGCGGCGAGGCCTTCTCTTTGAGACGAGGCTTCATCACGTCTCCGTTGGGCAGCGTGTACCTGGTCCACTAGTTGCTTGAAACATCTTGAAACATCTTGAAACATCTTGAAACATCTTGAAACGGAAAAAAACTTTTGAATACCGGAAGAAAAAATAATAATGTTCACCCCTGCCTACTCTCCACACTGGAAAAAAAAACAAGAACCTGTACTTTGAGCATTTTTTGCAGCTGAAATCTCTTATCGGTACAATATCTGCAGAGATTTGGAACTTAAACATGCAATTTGCATGGCATTTAAAGCGTTTTGGCCTTGAATCTTTGAGTTTTATTTGCAGCTGAAATCTCTTATTTGTACAATATTTGCAGGGTGTTGGAATTAAATATGCAATGTGCATGGCATTTAAAGCGTGTTGGCCTTGAATCTGTGAGTTTTATTTGCAGCTGAAATCTCTTATATGCACAATATTTGCAGGGTTTTGGAATTAAATATGCAATTTGCATGGTATTTGAAGCGCTTTGGCCTTGAATCCCTTGTTTGCACTGTGCTCACAGCATCTTGGAGCCAGCATCTGTACTACGCAGGGGGGATTCTCTGCAGTATTTCACTGTATTTGCAACATATACATGTTGTCCACAGTTAGTTTTAAGATGTTTTAAGGTCTATTTCAGGTTGGTTTAGGGTGTATTTGGGGATTACTTCTGGTTGATTTCAGGGCTTCTGTACGCTTAGTTTGGGCGTGTGTTTTCTAATGGTTTTACGGCTTAGATTTGGTTGCTTTAGGTTTCCTTTAGGGTTTCTTTTCAGGTTTACTTCGGCTTGTGCTATACAATGTTGATTGGGGTTGGGTTGCCTTGGTGTTTGTTTGGTGTCGATTTAAAGATGTAGTATATAGTGTGAATTTAGAGCTGGTTTGGTGCTTCTTTCCGATTGTTTAGGGTCTATTGAATTTTAGACTTTATTTGCACAGTGGTATCAAAGGATGAGGAGGGTAAAGGACCAGGATGAGGAGGGTAAAGGACCAGTGGATCAAAAGGACCCAGGGACCAGAGGACCAGGGGACCACAGGATCAAGGGAACCTTAATTTATCTTTCCAGTAATTCCCCACTTGCCAAGTGAGGGTTGTTAGATTTTATCAGAGCTGTTCTCCTCCTCCTCCTCCTCGGCTAGCTGTCCTCCTCCTCCTCCCCCTCTAGTTTCTCCTCGACCATGTCTGCATCAACTTCCACCTCCACTTCCGCCTTGCCAACTCTTCGCCAAGCTCTTTGCCAACTCTCTTCGCCAAGCTCTTTGCCAACTCTCTTCGCCAAGCTCTTTGCCAACTTCCCAGCTCAGTGTGCACTGGGACCTCAACCTGGGACCTGCCCAGCTCAGTGTGCACCGCTGGACCTCAAGCTCAGTGTGCACCGCTGGACCTCAACCTGGGACCTGCCCAGCCCAGTTTGCACCGCTGGACCTCAACCTGGGATTTGCCCAGCGCAGTGTGCACCGCTGGACCTCAACCGGGGACCTCCCCAGCTCAGTGTGCACTGCTGGACCTCAACGGGCAGATAGAATGCCAGAAGATATGCCAGATAGAATGCCAGAAGATATACCAGATAGAATGCCAGAAGATATGCCAGATAGAATGCGAGAAGGTATGCCAAATAGAATGCCAGATAAAATACCAGTAGTACCGCATAAGGCGGTGGCGAAAGTTTCAAAAATAGGAAACCTATAGGAGAGGTTGGTTGTTGTGAATCAGGGATGGCAGAGCGAATCCACTGATGGACCGAAAGGTGCTTGAGGTCTCCTCTCTTTCGCTCTCTTTCTCTGACTATCTAACTACCTACCTATCTATCTTCTATGTGTCTATCTATCTATCGATCTATCTATATCTCTCTCTCTCTTTCATCTGTCTATCTGTCTAGCTGTCTAGCTGTCTATCTGTCTATCTATCTATCTATCTGTCTGTCTGTCTATCTATCTCTCTCTCTCTCTCTCTGTCTCTCTCGCTTTCATCTGTCTATCTGTCTAGCTGTCAATCTGTTTATCTATCTATCTATCTATCTATCTGTCTGTCTGTCTGTCTGTCTATCTGTCTACCTGTCTATCCGTGGTGCAGCGTCATTAAGTGTAATGTAGTGTAGTGTAGTGTAGTGGAGTGTAGTGGAATGTAGTGTAGTGTAGTGTAATCTAGTGTAGTGTAGTGAATTTTAGTGTAGTGGAGTGTAGTGGAAGGTAGTGTAGTGTAGTGTAGTGTAATGTAGTGTAGTGGAGTGTAGTGTAGTGTAAAGAAGTGTAGTGTAGTGTAATTTAGTGTAGTGGAGTGTAGTGGAGTGTAATTCTGTAGTTGTAGTTGTAGTTGTAGTGCAGTGGAGTGTAGTGAGTGTAGAGTAATGTAGTGAAGTGTAGTGGAAGGTAGTGTAG